TTTTTTTTTTTTCTCGTTTTCTTTTTTTTTTTTTTTAATTTTATTTTATTTCTTTTTTTTACTTTACACTACATACTGATGGAAGCTCATCATACGAACAACGTGGCGTTCACTGCATGCACACCGATATAACAGTATCGAAAGCACAGGATACAACTTCGTTTTCACGCTCATACGACGACTTTTAATTAATGATTTTGTGCTTGATCGCGCGACTCTCTTCTTTTTTGGACTTTTCTTTTTTTTTCCTCTTTTTGCTTTCTTTTTTTTTTTTTTTTTTCGTTTTCGTCTCTCCCTTTTTTACTCGCGAGAGATGGAAAAATGGGAGCTAAAACGCTGCACGCTGAATGAATCGACTATACTTTTACTGTTGTGGCAGTGCATTTATCGCTATCGTTACACAGATAATTTTTATAATCTTTTTTTTAATAGAATACGATCTTTTGTTGGTTTGGAAATTTATTCTTGTCCAGTTTCGTGACAGATTCAAATGAATAAATATTAGGGAAGAAAATTTTTGATTATGCGTGGTCTTTATATACCTCTTTATTCACATTGGTGGATATTTCAAGGATTTAATTTGTATTATTTTATCTGCGAATTTTGAAACTTTTATGAGATATGATATATTAAAAATTTGATCTCTTCCTATTAGAGTTTAATTTTATGATATAACTTTTTTTGCTTAAATTATTTTGCCATTTTTCCATTGAGATTTTTAATTGGGATATGAATTTAAATTTTTGCAATTTTTCTGAAAGGAAAAAAGCTATGAAAATTGCTTCGGTTCAATTCGTAGCAAGGATTTGATTTACAATTTTCGTAGCGTAAGTTTGTCTCTAAAACTTATATTTAATTTGCAAAAATTTAATTGCGATTCTCGATTAATTATTTGTTGGAAATAATCGAAGGTATAACAAATAACAAATCCGAAATGATATTAAAATAACGGTATTATATAAATTAATAAAGAAATTGATTGGTCCAATTGTTTCTGTTGTTAACAAAAGAACTTTTTTCCATTTTTGAACTCATTAAAAGTTTAAATAGAAAGAATAAGTATGAAATATATAATTTGATATAAAACTGAGAAAACTTTAATTCGAATATTAAAAGATGTATTTTTCTTTGCTCGCTAACTAAATTTTCTAACTTTAAATTACTTTATTAATTAAGTAATTTGTCAATTTAATTTTGTAATTCGTGTAACGATTACCATAAATTCAGGTCATCTGTACAATTTTTTTTTTTTCTCGCATTTATTACAAATCTAACGATATCTTCAGACTTGTGTATTCCTAATCGTTGCTTAAAAATGTCAAATTAATTATCACTACGTTGTAATTGATTAGGGATATGTATTGGATTCGCATAAATATTGCTGATAATTGCCAATTTATTTCTTGTTCTCCATCGAAAAATATATATATCTATATATAAATATAAAAAAAAGAAAAAAAAAAGAAAAAAAGAAAAGAAAAAAGGAAATAACGAAATAATAGAATTCACATTTTTTTCCTCTCGATGATACCTACATCAACGATGAAATTTCCATTCATTTTTTTTCATTGTTCTAATGAAACGCGTGAATAACGTGTGAATAATACCGTTCGTAATTTTAATTGGATTCATTAGTGACGTAAAAAATTGATGTATGAAATCTCTGTGTAAATTTTTTTAATGATT